CAATCGATAGACAATCATAGATAAAAGAACCAAGAATCCAATTCGATAAGTCACATAACTCAATATCTATTAAACATAGCCTCATACTCGGGTCCTCTTGGTGACATGACAAGTGACACTTGGGCATACAAAATCCATACTCATATTGAACCATTACACCCCTCAGGGCTGTAATCACAATCGCACTCCATAGGGCTATAATCACATTTCACCAATTATACTCTCAAGTACACTTCGTACATGTACCAATCAACCCCAAAGTATTTAGCCCAACATACACGTACAGATCAACCGATAACATTGACAGAATTTCATATCAATCAGAATAATCAACATGAATACAAATTTCAGATAATGAAAGAACACTCTTTGTAAAGAGATTTAAAAGATAGGAGTATATTGTATATTACCCCGTACCTCAAATCCATCAATGATTTCAATAGATGCGAAATTTGAAATACCCCGAATCAAATAGTCAAATTTGATAACAATCCAAAATAAAATTATTGCTTAATTTTTGACCCCAAGATCTCATAATTTTTTTTCTTCTATTCCATCAATCTATCTTTCTCTTTCTCTTTCTCCTTCTTCTCTTCCCTTCTCTCTCTCTCTCTCTCTCTCTTTTCCTTTTGTGCTGTTGCGTTCAAATAGCCTGGACTTGGCTATTTATAACCAAGTCTTGCTTGGTCTCCAAGGTTCTCTTCCTCTTTGTTTTTTCCTTTCTCTTGCACGTTTTCCATTTGCTCAACTATATATATATATATATATATATATATATATATATATATATATATATATATATATATATATATTCACACATATATATTTATTATATTATTACGAAACTTGACCTAAATTGTAGTTATTTGACTTATTTTCACGCGAAAAGTCTATATTTGAGGTTCATTTATTCATAAAAAAAATTATTTATTATTTTTTTTAAAATAATATTTAATTATATAAAATCATAATTGATTACTTAATTAGCGTGTCAATGATTAATTTATATACGGGTCGTCACAATCTACCCCTCTTAAAAAAAAATTTGTCCCCGAAATTCGATTCTAATCTCAAGAATAAGTATGACTACAAATATCCGCTGCGCACTCTGATACCTTTTTTAACTATTTGTCATATAACCCAAAATTTTGATATGAATTCCATCTTATACATCCACCTAATGGGAATTGGTTAACTTACTCTGCACACTTCAAACTTCTATACCTACAACGAAAGCTGATAGTCTCATTCCCCACAAGACTCATATAAGATCTGATACCTAAGCTCTGATACCAACTTGTCACGTCCCAAATTTTATAAAAACGTGATTAAAACAAACACTTTGTTTATTTAAAAAAAGCACATGCCGGTATGTTGTAAAACATCGAGGAAAGTATCTCTTTAGTTGAAAATAAATCATTTTTTTAAAAAAAAATTTCAGCAGAATTTCCTTTGAAAATTGGGCTTTCAACCAGTTAGTAAGAGCATTCATGTGAAAGAATTACATAATTCTAATTAACTAAACATCCACAACATGCCTCCATCCAAAAATATATCCAACTCATTTCGGGGTGGCAATTAGAGGTTCACAAAATCCTCTCAAACCCGGATACATCCAACCCCAACACATACCACAACTTAGTACCCAAAGTCATAACTTTACATTACAATATCCAAAATAATAATCCCTCTATAGGATAATCAAGTGTACACCAAAAATGCCTCAAGATAACCTTTTCAAATACAATGCTTGAGTTCTAACATTTCTACATAAGTTCTAAAAATAAATACAAAAAACTCCAAAAGAGATTCTTTCTAGTCCAAACTTCCACAAGCATTCCGTCACTTATGCCTTAGGATGCATGCTAGTCTCTGAAAATATTAGTAAGGGATGAGCAACCACGTGCTCAGTAGGATAATCCTTTTTTCAAGGATTTACAAAGTTTTAAAAACAAACATTCCACAAATCATACTAATAAGTAATGAAGCATTATATAATTAAATACAAGTACAAGATAATAAGTAAAGCATTTATAAAAATCTCCCAATACCTTAACATTAGAAATATACAAGGTATAAATCAAAGTCAAACCATCATAGTAAATACCATGCATGTCTCGCATACGGACAATATCATTAATCACACCGGTTCACGCATGAACCATCTCCGGGGAACCTCTTTGGGTCTTGCACCCTAGGGTCTCATCGCCCTTCTTGCTTTTCAAGGGGAACGTGTAGGGCACAACTTGTGATGCCACATAGGTCATCACCGAAAATCACTATCATAACCAATCCCCCTTAGGACTAGTAGTCGCCTTGACAACCCACTCAATAGGCTCCAACCATCTACTAACACTCTGTCTGTCAGTATCATGCATACATTTTTTAAAAATCATTATTTACGATATTCATAAATTCTTTTGAAAACACATGTCATAATTTTGACATTTTATCAAATATGTGGTAAGCTTAAATCTCAAAAGTTGCATTTCCAAAGCAACACAACCATTTTCAAGAGAAAATAAGTCACATATATTATGTACAAAATAATAGCATACTTCAAAACCCCCAAATTATAGGTTTAATCAAATACCCATAACTAAAATCAAACTAGGGCATTTTCATTTTCAAGAGAATAAGTCATATTATGTACAAGATCATAACATACTTTAAAACCCCCAAATCATTAGTTTTATCAAATACTCATAACTAAAATCAAACAAGGGTTTCAAACCCATAACACTAAAATTATTTTCTTTTTTAAGAGAATAAGTCATATTGTGTACAAGATCATAATATACTTCAAAATCTCTCAAATCATAAGTTTAATCAAATACCCATAACTAAAATCAAACAAGAGTTTAAAACCCACCACACTAAAATCATTTGTATGCATGTAGGTTCACAAATTCATGACATATTCAACACTATACTAAAGTTTATAACAAGAATTTTACCATCAAGCGCATAGTAAGCTTTAACTAAAGAAAATATATGAGATGCAGAATGTCAATGCAAGAGAAAGGAAAACCTCACCTAAGAATCAAGAATTCCAAGCCAAATTCCTAAAATTTTCAAGCAAACTCCAAGCTTTATGGACCTTCTTCTTCCCCTTTCTCTTTTCTCTTGTCTTCTCCTGAGTTTTAAGAGGTTTTGGGTGAGAGATGTGAGAAAAAATGGAAGAAAAGGGGCTGAAATCTGTGTTTTAAACACAGCAGCTCCGAATTCTACTTTTCATGGGCTGAAAAATTAAATTTTTTCTTCGAAATTACGATTTTGCCATTAAACATTCTAATTTGATACATATGACTATACTAAGGTTTTTCGACGTTCTGAATTTATTTTTAATGTTATTTTAACCTAAAAATATTTAGTTTTATGATTTATCTCAAAATAAAAGTTAATTTACACTAAAAACACTAAAATCATTATTTTACCCTTTCCGAACCGCTATATGAGCTAAACGTCTATTTCAAGTTTTTCGGACCTCCCAGATTCAATGGAAATATTATTTTGACCCAAAAATATTAATATATTTACTTAGATATCCTTATCAACCTTAAACACCTCCAAAGATTAAATTTGACACAAAAGTCAATACGTTCGCACTTCAAGCTTACGCGACTATTTTTTAACAACGATTCGAAGTTTCTCTCATCATTTTAATTATTTTAAAAATACTAGCAAATTAATATCATTTATATTTATATAACACACGGGATCTCATAATACCATATGTTAGAGTTTACCTCCCTCGACATGTTTTTTCCCATAGTCAATTATATGTCGTATTATTACAAGGAACTTCGATGTCAACAACAAAGGTTTTGGTCAAACCAAATAATAAGAAAAGAAGAAAAGGAGCACATATGAAGAATATTGTGTACAAAGAGGTTTTATCCCCGCACAAGTAATGATATCCATGAATTCTTGTTCTTATGTGATTATACAACTTCTTTATACAATTAATAAAAATAGTGTAGTATTTCAATTATGAAGTATTTCACATTCATGATTAATGCTTTATTGATGATGAAACATCGAGGCTCCAGTTCACTCTACAGATTCAGTGGATTAATGTTCGAAACTATAATTACAATTTAAAGCAGCTTAGCCTTTGCATATTCTACCGTCGCCTTTTATTTTTACAGATTTGTTCTACTTTTGGTAAATAGGTTACTTATAGCTTATTGGGCTTGTTTTTTTAAAATGAATCTAAAAAATTGTTTAAGTTTGACTTGTTTATAAAATGAGTTGAACTTAGAATAAGCTGAGTCTGATTAGCTCAACTATTTTATATATAAACAAGTAGAGTGAAAAAATTGTTCAAGGTTGTCCCGTTTAAAATATGAGTTGAACTAAATCGACTCTTATATTAGTTGAATTTGAACCGAGCCCGAATAACACTAGTTTATTATTAGCCCTAGTTAGAGGCCCAAAAAAGTTAATTGGAAAGGAACAAAGTAAAGTTTTTTTTTGTTTTGCAGTTTTTCATAATAATTAGCTGTTAAAAGGATCCAGATGGCAAGGGTCTGTATCGGGCCAAACGAGCCTATCTAATTGCCAGGCCCACAGAAGACCTTCTGGAAACATACGGCCCACGACTTGTCTATCGGGTCGGTTTAGTGGGCATGTATCAGGCAATCCATCGCGACGATTCTAATGAGCTTTTCTTTTTCATGTTTTTCTAATTTTGATGGGTTGAGCAATGGGCTTTTTAGGTGAGCCGCCTTTTGTAGGCCTTAATCAGCCCAGTCAGTTGGACCCAAAGGCAAAAGGCATAGCCCTATCCACTGGTCTGTTCACTTGGGCTTTTGGACCAACTCTTGGGCCTCAATTTTTTGTAAACATTGTGTGATAATGATAATGATATACCATTTGTCGAAATTACACCTGTGCACAAGCGCTTGAACCATCCTATCAACATTCATTTCACATAACCACTTTGTTGCACTGGGAAACTCACTTATGCCCAAATCCATTGACAATAATCAACACACACACCATAGTCATATCTAAAAACATAGCAATTAAACACAAGATCAAGAAGTATTGAGACGCGAAGATTAAGAATAATTACACAACTATATCGAAGTAGGCGAGGAAATCCACACAAGATGGTCTGCTGGAAAGAAATGGCAAACCCCAGGAGTCCCTGCTTCAATTCCGAGCACACGGAAAGACACATGATTCCGGCTCCATTGAGAGGTGTCAGTGTGACAAACAACAACAGCTTCCACCTTATCTCCATTCTCCCCACCTAATAAAATCTTAAACACCTTGTTCTTACTTGCTTGGGTGTGACAGTAAAAAACTGCATAAGGGTAAGGCATAGTATGACATGCCACCATTTTGTAAGCTGATATTTCTTCGGGATTTTCCAATATGGTATAGTTCTGAAAATGGGTGTTAGATTTGGTGAGATGAGTGGTGGATAGAAATTTGATTTGGCTCTTGATCCCGAAAACGCTTCTTGTAAAATCAGTCATGGATTCATAAGAGGTGGCACAGATCTTGGTCTCTCCTTTGATGGGGTCAGCCTCACATTCTCTAAGTGTATTTTCCATGGCTTTGGCTTGTGGAGAGTTTGGAGAGATGGAGAAGAATGGAAGAAGATTTGGGAGTTCTTTTAAAGAGAAAGCAAAGGTCTCCGCTTCTTCTTTGGGCAACAAATGAGGAGATGAAGAAGGGTCCCTTTTGGGGAAATGGATAGGCATTGTTTTGCCTAGTTTCAAATCCTTGATAAGAAAGAACACAATTAATGAAGGGTCTATATGATCATGGACATGATCTCTATGTGTCCCTCCATGAGCATCATTGTCTTGTTTATCAGAAATTGAAACAGGGTCATCTATAGCATGCTGCAAAACATTTGCCTTATCATGGACATCGTTTTCATCGTTGATATGAGCATCCATGCTATGAAGCCTCAAGACATTAATGCCTCCAGGGATATCTTCAACTGCAGAATCATTAGAAGTATTAATCTCATTACGTTGATGATTGTCATCGTCGTGGTCATTCTTGGGGTTTCCTAACATGATATGCCCTTTGGTGTCATGCAGCTTCACATGTTTGTTCTTTTGTGTCTGCTTTGTTAAATCTTTCCAATGTTCTTGATCAGCTCCATGAACACACTGCAAAAAAAATAAAAAAATTAGTAGCATAAAGAGTTCCAAATCTATAATCATGGTTTAACAGATAAGCTTTTCTTAGATTTAATAAAAAAAGAGTCAAATTTGTCATACTTTTCAAGAATTTCAATGGAAAACTGATACTAATTGGAGTAATTCAGGGTAAATACAATGAAAAAATATTAGAAATGGTTCGCGTTGACACTGAAATCTGTGTAAATTCTAAGATCTCCGACAATATGTCCTCCATGATGATCAAAACCAAATGCTACACTTTAAATCAACCACTTTGATCATATATTAACTTGACAGAAACGTTAAACGACTATGGTTACTGCTAATGCAGCAACAATTGTCATCTTCGCCATCATGAGCGCCCGGGTAGAGTACCAAAAGATGATCATTTAATGAAGGACATGAGTAGAGGGATTACCAGTAAAACCAGTAAAAGAAGGAAGAGACTCCGAGTAGCAAGTTTAAGGCCCATCTTTCTTCTTTTGCTTGGAATTACTTTCTAAGTCTTTCTGAGAACTGGGCAAAACTCACCTTACTTCAGTAAGGATAAGCATGAACAAGTTTCTCTATTATTGTGGGATATTCAATATTAAGTCATCAAGCCAACGACTGGACCTCTTTGAGTGAAGTAAAGGCCCTTTTTCTACGAAAAAGCACAACCAAGCAATCAATCTACTGTTTGAATAAGCTATTCTATTAAATGTTAAGTACTGTTGAACAACTTGTAAAATTCTTGTGTTTTTTTGCTCCTTCTAACAGCAAAATTTATTGAAGGGGAAAACTACGGTGCTGGAGTACCGAAATTTACAAATAAATAAGGGTTTGTACAACTCAGTTTACAATAAGTTATGGCTCAAAAAGATTAATTATGATTTATGACCCGATGAGGGCAAAGCTATATCTTAAAAAAAGTTGGAGCCAATTTGTGATACCTCAAAATTCGAGTGTTTGTAATTACCCGATTGATCACCTATCAATCCACGGAACACCCGTAGATATTATATAATTTGTTATCACGCCGTTATGCTCTATTTATCGAGATACATAACTTAATGAAATTTTGACAGAGTCTTTTTTGTACGAAAAATTTTACTCAAAACGTAACATGTGTAACCATATAACATTGACCACACCAGGTCTATTCATCCCTACTATTTAGCATAGTGTCAAATACTACTATAATAATCATCATTACGTACATTCATTCATAAAAGAATAAATGTCTCAAAAGAGTCTTTTATACATGTCTTTTAAATATAAACAAGTTTTTGTTATAAAAATTACACAAGGCCAAACGTAAATATAAACAAGGGACTACGATGTCAAAAGAAGAACCACCGATCGGCTCTGCGTCAAAGCGGGCCCATAGTCTCGCCTTCGGTGGACGCCTGTGCAATACCTGAAAAGTGTTCTCATAAAGGGTGAACCAACGCTCAATAGGGTAACTCTTATAGAGAATACCTCTCAACCTAAATACATATGAAAATATCACTTACAACAATCATTTCGTGCAATCATTCAAATATGTCTATTATGAACAAATGTCATAAATCATGTCATGTCATGAGATGAGACTCACGAACACAATACCAACACCGAGCCCCATCCTGAGCTCTTACAACACATGCAATGTCATGTGTATGTATTCGAGAATTCCAAGCCCCATTATTAGTGTTATGTACACTCAATGACTAATTAATTTATTTTCCTGTATCTTTGTGGGGAGATAATTTATGGTATTACATCAATGGGACACCAATTTATGGTATTACATCAATGAGACACCAACCATCAACGAATTCTCAGGACATCCCACCTGCGGTTTCGTTTTGACCGTTACATTTTTTTGGAATTTCACTGCCGAAAAGTGTATAAACCAAGTAAACGGGTCTTGTATTCGAGGGAGAATCTACCCCTTTTTGCTATCCCTGACACATATATCCATTCAATTTTTCGTGTGACTCAGCCGGACCTTAGTGTGACTTTTCTGAGCCCACAATCAACCACCTATGTGGTGATTGATTTCATCTCATGCACGCACTCCCACCCATATCAATGCCCATGAATGTAATGTAATCTATGCATAATGAAATTTCAATGTGCAATTACCTTTGGTACCATTTACAATATCTATTACATAAAGAATACAATATAATGACATTTTCAACATGACAACATGTTTATTAATTCTATAAACATAAGCACAAGTCCACCACAATAATTATATGCTAAATAATCATTTAACATACATATTATTCCATAATCACATAACAAGCTAATAATTTTATTAAACTTGATATGTCATTTAAAACATAAAACAATGGTAATGTACAATTAACATGCTTTAAACTACTAACATTAACTTACACCAAGTTAATCATAATAGGATTTTCTAATTACAAAGTTAATTAGAAATCATATATTTGACACACTAGTTACACTAGTCAAGATCTAACATGTGATATATACTCATAGCCTACCCATTTCATATGTCATATTTTAGGTTGAAAATAAATCTAAATAGGGAAAATCCTACTTCTCGTAGCGTGAGCCTACGTACTGAAACTCTGAGGAAGTCTAATGTAACTTCCCAAACTTTAAACCTAAATTATCGTCTTTGATATTCTTTTGGAGAAAAATATGATATTTGATGTGGTTGCGTAGCTTTCGCTGAGTAGAGAAAAAAAAAATCTTTTCTCTCTCTCACTCACTCAGCAACCTGTTGGAGGAAGAAAATTTTTTACGTTTTTGACCCTTATATTACAATTAATTATTATTTTATCCCTTTAATTAAGATTTTTACTAATAATAATAATAAATTTTTTTTTCGGGTTTTGCACGATCCTAAAAGAATTAGGGTCAATCCTATATGTTAGCACTGTTAGAATCAATCCTATAATGTACAATTAACATGCTTTAAACTACTAACATTAACTTACACCAAGTTAATCATAATAGGATTTTCTAATTACAAAGTTAATTAAAAATCATATATTTGACACACTAGTTACACTAGTCAAGATCTAACATGTGATATATACTCATAGCCTACTCATTTCATATGTCATATTTTAGGTTGAAAGTAAATCTAAATAGGAAAAATCCTACTTCTCGTAGCGTGAACCCACGTACTGAAACTCCGAGGAAGTCTAATGTAACTTCCCAAACTTTAAACCTAAATTATCGTCTTTGATATTTTTTTGGAGAAAAATATGATATTTGATGTGGTTGCGTAGCTCTCGCTGAGTAGAGAAAAAAAAATCTTTTCTCTCTCTCACTCACTCAGCAACCTGTTGGAGGAAGAAATTTTTTTACGTTTTTGACCCTTATATTACAATTAATTATTATTTTATCCCTTTAATTAAGATTTTTACTAATAATAATAATAAAAAAAAAATTCGGGTTTTGCACGATCCTAAAAGAATTAGGGTCAATCCTCTATGTTAGCACCGTTAGAATCAACCCTAAACAACCTCATTTTTTTTTCAGCCTCAACAGATTGAATCGTAATCTACATTTTATACAATAGTAACTTTTGGTACGACACAAAAGAAGAATAACTCTCACCCTGCTGGAACAATGTGCCTCTTGTATCTAAAACTTAGTGAAATTCCTCAATCATGATTTGGATTTGACCCTTGTTATAAACAGAACTTAATGATTCAAGTAAAAACTATCATATCTCTAAAAAAAAGTGGTATAGGAACATTTGGAGGTTGAAGATTAATTGTCAGTAGATTTGGTAATTGAATCTCAAGAGCCCACACACTTATCATGATCTTAACATCTAGCCATATGCTAATGTTTTTCACCAACAAGAAAAAGATTCCAAATCAAATCAAAAAAAAGAAAAAGAAATTCCACACTAGAGAATACCGATGTGAATATGATTACGAGCTGCAAAATAAGGAAATAGGAGAGGTTTCTACTGTCAAGAGTGTCCATCGATGGCTTCCGATGCTTAAGTCAATAGATGTAAGCGTGTTCATTGAAATATAATGCAAAGGCCAATACTAGATAATTATTGAAGTTTTGTACCCCATCAAATGTTGATATTTTTGTTTTTTTCTTTATACTCATTGAGTATATTGTTTAATGGGAGTTTTTTTTCATGAGAGTGCCAATGTTGAAGATAAGAAGATGGTCGCATCATATAGACCCAAGTAAAATTGTAGTAGGTGTCTTGTATTCCATTTCAATTCGTATTTGTTCTGACATGAAATCTATTGAATTATAATTGAATTTTTTTTGGATCTATATTTGTAACTTGATCTGAGATAAATTGATGATTATTTGGAAATTTGATTTCTGTATGACTTGAAAACCTGAGTTTTCGAAAGCAAAGATATTAGGGTGCTACAAATATTGATAGAAAAAAAAAACAAATATTGATAGACATTGTCGGGTTCTATTGTAGTGAAGGTTGTTGTAAGAAGATCCTTGTGCTAGTAAAGATTGCTTCAAATGATCAAGAAATAAGAAAAACAAATCATTAATAGACATAAGATTTTAAGTGAAACCACGTACAATTAAAAATTTTCTTATTTACTCATAGCAAAAGTCATGAAATAAAATAAACTTTCAATGAATAGTGTCTTCCAACGAAGGAGGGACCCTTCAATTTTTCGTTATCAATCACTCCATTCTAGAGATGGAGCTCCATCACCCATTACCAATAATATTGTTATATTTAATAGCTGATATGAATCATATATTAATACTAGTCATTACCCGTGTCTAAAGGCACTATAAAAAAAAAAAAAAAAAATCTTAAATAAGCGTCCAAATTCAAAAGAAATAATCTAAAAATATTCATACAAATTCTTTTTTCAAATGGCTCATTCTGTTTGGACCTAAAAATTTGACCTAATTTGCTGATATAATAATATGGCTTCATAAGAATCATTGGATCAACACCAAATTTATGTCAGTAAATTGAGTCTCAATAGCATTGCTCATTATATAGAAGATACTATTTAACACTTTATCTATATATAACAAATGGTTTTTGAGATTCCATGCAATCACAAAGAGTAAAAAATTTCTTATAGTATTGAAGACATGGAATCATCTTCTGCTTTCTTCACTCTCCTTTTGCTTCTTCTGGTAAGCAAAACCAACTCAGAATCCCTTTTTAATCTATCTTTTCAAGGTGAAGAATCCTTATAAGCTTTATATATGTGATAATATACATCATGGTAATGTTTTTATTTAATGTTGTTGAGCAGTTTGCAACCATTACAGCTGCAAGACCAAATCCTGGAGAAAATTGGCAAGGTACCATGAAAGATAAGCTCATGCCTGAAGCAATTGTCGTCGAGGGTTCAAAGTCGTCTCTCTCAAACAAAGAAACGGACTGTCACACATCGACAGATGTAAGAACCAACGATCATTGGTTCCAACGATAATTGGCTTCAATACCCAAAAGTTGAAAATTGGTACAATACCGATTTTATCGGTATATATTTTAAAAATAAATAAAACAGTTACACACTTTAAAAATAAGAGAAAATAGAAATTAAAATTAGTTTTAAAAAATAATTATTATTCATCTTATTTAAACCTAAATAAAAATGTAAGAAAAAATTTACAATATTTGGAGTTATTTAGTGACATTAAATTTACGATTATGTTAAAAATATTAGAGGTTAGAATTAGGTTAATAAAGTTTAGCACATTTTTTTGGCCCTATAAAGGGCAAAGAAGAAAAAAGAGTTGCAGAATTGTTTTTTTCCCTACAAACCCTTCAAGAGATTATAAAATAATCATCATTTATTAAAACTAAGGTTGAGATTATAGTAAGATTATATTTAATAGAAAATAAATACACTTAAAACTTTTTTTAGTAGAAAATTAGAGCAGTAAGGTTCCAGTAAAAGTACCATTTTTTTAGTTAATATTATCATTCTTTTAATTAACATTACTACTTTTTTGGTTAAGATTACACTATTGAGGTAAGAGTACCATTTTTTTTGTTAACATTACCATTTTAATGTTAATTTAATATTAATTTGTTAATTACATGTTAATTAAATACTTTGGATGAAAAATAATATTGTTTAGTGTTGATTTGATAAATTAAATTTTTATTGGATGTTAATTGAATGTTAATTGGACGATTTTGGAATAAATTGGATGAATTTAATATTAATTAAGTTGAATTTTAATGTTAATTTGATGAATTGAATGTGTTAAAGTAATATTAATTTGTTAATTACATGTTAATTAAATACTTTGGATGAAAAATAATATTAATTTAGTGTTGATTTGACAAATTGAATCTTTATTGTTTGATTTGAAATGTTAATATAATATTAATTTATTAATTACATGTTAATTAAATACTTTGGATGAAAAATAATAGTAATTTAGTGTTAATTAGTTACAAGTTGAATTTTAATGTTAATTTGTTGAATTGAATGTGTTAACGTAATATTAATTTGTCAATTACATGTTAATTAAATACTTTGGATGAAAAATAATATTAATTTAGTGTTGATTTGATAAATTGAATCTTTATTTTTTGATTTGGAATGTTAATTTAATATTAATTTTTTAATTACATGTTAATTAAATACTTTGGATGAAAAATAATAGTAATTTAGTGTTAATTAATTACAAGTTGAATTTTAATGTTAATTTGATGTATTGAATGTGCTAATGTAATATTAATTTGTTAATTACATGTTAATTAAATACTTTGGATGAAAAATATTATTAATTTAGTATTGATTTGGTAAATTGAATTTTTATTGGATGTTAAATGAATGAATTGAATGTTAATTAGCTATTTTAGAATAAATTGGATGAATTTAATATTAATTAAGTTGAATTCTAATGTTAATTTGATGAATTGAATATGTTAATGTAATATTAATTTTGTAATTATATGTTAATTAAATACTTTTGGGTTAAGTTAAAATTATTACAACAAAGTTTTTCACCACTACATAAATTGCAACAAAGTTATCATATTTGGGTACATCTTTTGTGTTAAATTAAAATAGGTAAAAAAAATTAGGGTAATATGAAACTAATTACATAGTTGATGGTGTAATATGAAAAATATGAGTAAAAAATTAAAAAAGAATGATAATTTAGGGGTATAAATGTAATTTATTTTGGACATGATCGCTAGTTGAGCGATCGAGATTCGTTTGCTACAAAGATCGCTATGCAAGCGATCCAGACAAAAAAAATAGTACTTTTAACCAAAAAAGTTATACTCTTAATCAAAAAAATGATACTCTTAACCAAAAAAATGGTAATGTTAACAAAAAAAAATGATACTCTTAACAAAAAAAATGATAATATTAACCAAAAAAATAGTACTCTTAACCAAAAAAAATTAGTAATATTAATAAAAAAAGTGGTACTCTTACCCAACAGTGTACTCTTAACAAAAAAAGTGTTAATCTTAATCAAAAGAATTGTAATATTAACCAAAAAAGTAATACTCTTAACCAAAAAAAGTGTAATGTTAACCAAAAAAATTTATTTATTTATTTTTAAATTTAAGCTTATTATAATCTCAACCTTAATTTTAATAAATGATAATGATTTTATAATCTCTTCAAGGGCTTATAGGGATAAAAATAATTCTGCAACTTTATCTTCTTTTTTCTTCATCTTTTTCGTCTTCTGAGTTTTTTTTTTTTTTTTTTTTATGAATTTACTATAATCTCAATCTTAGTTTTAAGTGAAGAGCTACAATTAGCAATATTAAAGAACATCCAAAGAAATTACTTTGAACAATTTTATTGCTCTCTCTGGTATTGATACTATAAGATTACAACTCCATTGAAACATAAGATTTAGGAATATTTGACATCAGTGAATTTGTGAAAAAGTTGAATCTAAATTGTAGAGGTTGAAAAAGACCTTTTATTCTAAAAGAAGGGAAAAAAAAAAAGAATCTTGCAAAGGTGAATTCATGAAGTTCATCTCATAAATCTGCCAAATGGCATATGTTTTTGGTGAACGAGTATCTATAGGTGTTTTTCTTTATCTTTTTCTTCTTTTTTTTTTTAAAAAATTGAGTATATGTGGGTGTTGAACATCATATTTGCTTTGTGTTACTTCGTGTTATTGTAAAGTGAGTTCGTGTTAAAAATTTTTTTATTCACACTCTATTTGTTTATTCAATCGTGTCTAACGAGTCGTATCATATCAAGTTCGTGTCCCAAATTGTTTTCTTTGCAATTTTCTTAATTTTAATTAATTTCAGCAAAATTTTTCAATTTTTCATTGCTCATATTCTATTATAAGATTATAAATAAAAATTATATGTTCCAAAAATTTGTTATTCTAACTTTAAGAAAAAAGATTTAAAAAAATAGTTAAATATAAGTACTTAATACTTTGTAATCAAATTTATTAAACTTAATTTTTCATTACTCATATTCTATTATAGGATTATAAATAAAAATTGTATATTCCAAAAATTCGTTATATTAACTATAAGAAAAAAGATTAAAAAATTGTTAAAGTTAGGTACAACACCAAAAAAAATGTTAATGTTCTATGTATCAATTTTTAGATAAAATATAAAGAATGGGTCTTTTGAGTATGTGCATTAACTTACACTCAAACAATCCCAATCCTGTTTGATAAATTTTCTAAATGAGCAATTGGAATTGATTTAAACTTTAATACTTTGTAATCAAATTTAATTTTTCATTACTCATTCTATTATAGGATTACAAATTAAAATTGTAAGTTACAAAAATGCGTTATTTTAACTATAAGAATAAGAAAAAAGATTAAAAAAATAGTTAAATTTAGGTACCATGGTTCAGAAACCACTTTATTAGCAACAAAAAAATAGGTAGTCTACCATTATAAAAATAAAAATAAAAAGTATCATCTATACTTCATAACTAAGGCTCTTATACTATCAATAAGCAATTGTTAAAAAAGTATGTTTGGGTTCAGGTTTCTCGATCAACTATGTCAATTTGTTTAAGAATGACGAACTCCATTTTTTATATCAAATTATATGTCTCTTTCTGTGTACCGTAAGAATGTACTAAAAATAGACAAAACAACTTTAAAACATAGCAAAAAATAAAGTAGCTTAAAAATATAGAACAATGGATCTAAATAACATATAGCACAACAACTTTTTTAATAAATTCGAATCACATACTTTATTAGCACGACTTACAATCATATACAAAAATAATTTAAATTGACAGATCTTATTACCATAGCTTACAAGTATAAAAACAAAATTTTCAATCCAATTGCCTCTATAGATTTTAGATCTGTCTACCTGTACATGGAGCTATTTTTAGTGTCGTATTGTATGCATTTTATTTTTATTTGTATCATAATTGTTTATTTTTCACTTGTACTGGACAATTTTTTGTTTGCTAATAGAAATATCTTTAATGCTATTAAGTGGTTAACAATAATAATTTCCGAACACAAAAATTAATAAAAGATATTAAGTATATATGTATCTGAATAAAATATCATTTCAAATTTACCAAACTTAATTTTTCATTACTCATATTCTATTATAGGATTATGAAAACTTTGTATATTTCCAAAATTCGTTATTTAAAGTATAAGGAAAAAGATTTTAAAAAATGTTAAAGTTTTATTATTTTAGAATTTCGTGATTGAAAGTATTTTTTTCAAATGTAATAATTTCGTGCATAAAAAATAATAAAAGTTATTAAGTATTTATGTATCTGAATGAAATATCATTTCAAATTTACCAAACTTAAATTTTCATTGCTCATATTCTATTATATTCCCAAAATTTACATACATTATAAAGCATATTAAAATTCTAAAAAATTCAAGTTACTTAAAACTAAACAACAATCTATTTTCACATCAAATCATAATACAATTTAGAAAATTTGTTGTGACTGAAAAATTATACTAACGTAACATAAATTGATTAAAAAAATTCAGTGGTCATCTTAATAAGAGAAAGCAATCAGAGTTATTAAATGGAGAAGGGTATCTACCCCTGCAGTCGACCAATAGAAAACTGAAATAAAATCTAAGAAATTATTTTTTACTATGTGTACTATTTTTTTCATTCATAAATTTTAGTTTAGTAATATCATAATATTACTACAAGTTGCAGTAAAAAGGTATACTTGATAGAAGGAGAGAAGGATATTGCAAAAATGACAACACGATGAACAAACAAGAGTTATTCTTGATTCACTCAAGAACAAAGAAAATTGTACATCGAAAGAGTGAGAGACAGAAGAAGGATATCTAATAATCAGAATAGAAGTACAAGGCAAAGATTGATTGGTTACAAATTGGCCAGATAAACTCCTATGAATTGAAGGTTAGTTAAGTAAAATATATTGAATGAAAACCATTAAGTTCTCATTACTTTACTAACCGATCATCATATATTCTTTCATACGACAAACAA